GGGGGGAGATTGTAGAGGACCTTATTCATACTCTAGTTACCACAACGTATCAGTCAACAATTAAAGAAAACTAAGGCACGCTTGGGAACGTTAAAGCATGTCATTACAGAAAAACCGCAGAAATCTCATGTTAGAAGATGGCATCTCCCCAAGTAATGAGTAAATGGCTGGATATTGGCCACTGTGACACCATATGCAACTGCACTCTAGCAAAAGAAATTCATCCAATCACATTACTATTTCTGGGCATCATGTGAGCTGCCTGCCCCATGCAAACAAGAGCAAAAAATATCATATCATTTTACAGAGGAAGATTCTGACGATAAGCTGATCCATAATTTTTTCTTTTTTCTTACACAACAAATAAAGAATAAATCAGAAGGAGCGGAGACAGGAGAAGGAAATCATGGATGACGAAGAAAATAACCTATTTTTTGACTGATCGCCGTGATATAAATTCCCTGTCTTTTTTGTGGGTGGGAGAGAAAAGAAGTTGTGATTTCAGAGGAAACCAGGCTCTTGAAACAAATAAAAAGGCAGATTGGTTGCTCTTATGCATCATTCATGTTGTCGTCCCTCCCCCTTCCATGAGCATATTTTTTATTACATAATGAGGAATGTTTAGAAAGTAAATATTTAATGCAACAGTAACAAGTAAACCGATATAACATGATTACAGCACTCGGATTTACAAAAAGCATGAAATGCTTAGAGATTTCTGTTGGAATGAGTTTCTATTGTCAAGGAAACACACCGACATCCAAAGAAGCCTCTGTTTGCAGACAAACCAGAAGGGTGTGCTGATTTGAGAACATGATGCCTTGTTTCATCAACTAACCTGTAAAAAGGTTTGAAAATGATTAATTAGGAGGGAAAAGGAATGGTTTGTGACTTCCCATTTGAACCTCATCAGCAGAATTTCCAATCAATTTCAAGAAAGTAGAAACGAACAGCCCAATTCCATTCCAGTGCTTCTAAATTTAAATTTGAGCTTTTGATAGAAACTAAAAGACATTTTGAGAAATCTTCATTAAGCATCCAAATCAATTACCTGAATCATAAACTTTAACCTTTTCAGAATAAAAATGGAAAATCAATACCTAACATCTAAAGTTGTACCAGGTATAACTCAATGGGGTGTCACCTCAACTAGCTGCAGGTAATCTGCAGCATGTTATTTCTAAGACAAGGAAAGGAAAAATCAGAAAGGATTATAGGGAGTGAAATAGGTCTACTAATCCGGTGTTGATGGTGTAACCGTTTCTCTTAAAAAAGAAAAAACATAACATAACAAAATTGTTCCAACTCAAGAAGAATATGAACTACAACAACAAGCTCAGTGTAACCCACAAGTGGGGTTTGGGGGATAAGAATGACCAGCTATTTTTTCTGAAATTTCGAGCAGGTTAGAAGAAACTATACAAGTGCAATATGTTTTTCTCTTCAAAAAGTATGACCTGAACAAAAAGAGCACCAGTTCGGATGATATTCTGGTGCACCTTCTCTATAGAGTTCCTCATGCACCCTTCAATAAGAGCACTGATTTGGATGATGGCATTCTACATTTAATCTAAAACTGCGAATTTGAGTAAGACTGGTGAGAAGAAGAATATTCAGTGAAATATTCAAGATGCCATCACTTTAGGGATATATAACACGTTTGACCCAAGGTGCAACCACTCTGATGATACTGAAGAATTAACGGAAAACTTATAAACAAAATCCTTGGCAGGGGGTAATTTTAAGATTTGGAGATCTAAGCTTGAGTGAAGAATTTCAGTCATAAAACTTCTGAAAGCAAATGATAAATACATGCTCTACTTCTACTTCTCTTCAAGGTCCACCAGTTAAGAATCAATGCACATAATATTTAGTTAAACTAGATGCTAATGGTTAAATCAAATGGCTCTCCTCAAGTACCAGCAAGAAGCTGAAGATGGAAGCAAAGCAAAGAGATTTATTCACAGGAAATTCTAAAATTTAACCTGAAGTCTACTATTAGACATTCAAAAATGTTTACAGATCATTTCCCTATCCTTGTACTGAACACACTGAACATCTAAAGTTGCAGATATAGTTCCATCAAAGGCAAAGACTACAAGTGATGCCCATAATACAACTAAGTCATCTTGAGACTAACTATTATAAAGTAGGGATTATCGATCAGATTTTTAACATACATAATAGAGTATTAGCAGGCTTGTGATGAACTACCTGACTTTTGCTTGGGCATAGTTTCCCCACAGAATGAAAACAACTCCTTCTTTCTTTTGAGAAATTGTTTTGATGACAGCATCTGTAAATTGCTCCCAGCCTTTATTTGCATGAGAATTTGCCTGGTGATGCCTAACTGAAAGTATATCAGGAAAAAGAAAAGGCTCAAAATGCTAGTGATTAGTAGAAGACAAGAAGCAGTATCACTACTTCTCTTCACTTAAAAAGAAAAGTAAATAACATGATAAAGCATTCATCCAGCAACTTCTTCTTGCTGGTTTTAGAATATATAAAATGCTAGTCTTTACCAACAAACAACAACAACAAAATACCTAGTGCAATCTCACATAGTGGGGTCTGGGGAGAATAGTGTGTAAGGCGGACCTTACCCCTACTCGTTGAGATAGAGAGGTTGTTTCCATAGACCCTCGGCTCGGTGAAACATAAGCACAACAGTAATGAAAAAAAACAGCCAGAAACAACAATGAGGAGCCATGGAAAAGAAGCATTAATAACTATACCGATCAAAAGAAATAATAATTATGATAAAGCATTCAAGAGCAAATGAGAAGGAGAATGAAGGGAGAAAAAAGGGAGTTCTCCTTTCCGAAATACGTGTCAGAAATCTTAATTTTTAAAAATATCAAAATGTAGCTGACAGCATTAACTTGTGAATTAAGGTAGATATAACAACCACATTAGATTGGAAAACAAAGGAGACAAATATTATCTATGTAAAATGTTGAAAATTTGGATTGGAATCAAACTATGATGCAAGATTTTCCTTCTTTTTTTTTTGTGGAACAGCAAACTCTGGTGTAAGTGATCTGTCCATATAATGTCCAGCATCTGTATAAATGTACAAATAGAAACCTATCTCATTACTAGTGATTTTGAAGCGCAAAAAAGTGACAAGGCCTTGCTTCGCTTAAAGCGTGAAGTGAAGCCCTCGCTTCATTTAAGTGAAGCACAATTTTTTTTAAAAGACCAAAATAAACCTCGCAAAGAGACAATATAAATAAGCAAATGTTCAATTCAAAAACTACAAAGTAGATTGGGCAAAATCCTCCATAGGACAAGCAAAATCAAAACTAAAGGACAAATGGATCAACATAAAATTCTACAAGATTGTCAAAATCTCTAATTCCATCATCATCATTGTATTGCTCATCATCTTCACCAACTATGGGATAGACTTGTAGCTACTTCATTTTCCCTCCTACGTAAGCTTGAAGTACTCTCCCTTAAACCATAATGTTCTCCTCACCTCCACTTGCCTCCGCAACATCACCCCAAGTGAAATTAGAATCTCCATCAAATACTTCTTTATGATTTTTTGAGACTCCAATTAGTCATTCATTAACCTCATCAATATTGTCCAAACAAATTGGATCAATTACATTGCGAGCATCGTACAAATGCCTCAATTTTCTATTGTGTTTAATGAACACTAGATCATTGAGACACTTTAGGGTTAGTCTACTACTAGTTAACTTAATTATCTTATGTTGTTCATTTTCATTAGCGACCAACTACAATTATAGAATCCCTTTCACACTTATACATCTAGTAAATCCTTCTCACATCATAAAAGATGTTCCGGCTTTAACACATACCCAACTGCATGCAAAGGTCGATGAAGTTGATCAGACCACCTTTTATCGATGGTCTCAAAGACTTTTTTATATTTTTTCTCGTCATTAAATGATGCTAGAATAGCCTCCTTAGCCTATAGATAGCTTCATAAAGGTAGACAATTCGTGGTTTTTGCTCCCCATCCACCAAACGAAGTACTTTAATCAAAGGACCATCGACTTTCAAAGCATGAACAACATTATTCCAAAAGTTAGGAAAAACAATAATGTTTGCAGTTTCTTTCCATATTTACTAGTGGTGTATTCTTATGAAGTGAACAACCTTATCAAATTGTTCTTTTGCAAGGGCATCATATGCAAGGTCAAAAAAGCAGTAGCAAATCTTGTCTTGGCAGGTATCACGAAACTTCTTTGTTGTGTGAATCTCCTCATCATATTTAATAATAAAAGTTTACTAACTTAAGAATGCATTGTAACTGCCTAAGCAAAAATTGTAGTGAAGGGTCTTTCTTTGAAAATGTCTCAAATTTATACCATGCGCTGCACATGGAGTCCAAGGTGCGGATACACTCCCTACAACTCATCACTCGCTTTAATATTTTCACTAACAGTGTCCATAACAACTTGAACAACCTTATCTGCTCTAATTTTTTCTATAATGTTCTCAAACAAGGAGAACATTTTGATGGAATCAGTAGATGAATCACTAGTATGAACGGATTCAAGAAACAAGCTTCCTTCAGAGAATTCATCAACACATTGATGATCATTTTTCCATTTCTTGTTGTCCATTTATACATCATAATGGAACATCCATACTTGTTCCATTCTCCTTTATGATCCTCCACAATGTTTTTGTCTCTTCCACCTCTTTAATTAGATAAGGACCTCTAATTTCATCAATTTATTCTCCAAAAGTAAGTTTGTTTCTTGAATCCATTGATGCTAGCGACTCTTCTACTAATTCCATCAAAATATTCTCCTTGTTTAGGAATATTATAGAGAACATTGAACCAACTAAGGTTGTTCAAGTTGTTATGAATGATGCTAGTGAAAATATTAAAGCGGGTAATAGTTGAAAAGGGTGTACCCGCACCTTTAGTGGACTCCGTATGCAACGCATTGTATAGTTTGATATCCCGTGATATTTTCAAGGAAAGACCCTCCATTACAATTTTTGTTCAGGTTGTTAGGGTGCATTCTTATATTAGTCAAAGGCTTTTATTGAATATAATGAGGAGATTCACGCAACAAAGAAGTTTGATACCTACCAAGATAAGTTTTGCTATAGCTTTCTTAATCTTCCGTAGAATGCACTTGCAAAAGAACATTATGAGAAGGTCGTTCGCTTCATCAAAATACACAACTAGTGCATTTGGAAAGAAAGCTGGAAACATTATTGTTTCTCCTACCTTTTGGAATAATATTATTCATGCTTAAAAATTGGTGGTCCTTTGTTTAAAGTACTATGATTGGTGGATAGGAGCAAAAATCATCAATGAGCTACCTTTATGAAGTTATGGACAGGGCTAAGGAGGTTATTCAAGCGTCATTTAGTGATGAAAAGAAATATAAAAGTCTTTAAGATCATTGATATAAGGTGTCGGGGCAACTTTATCGACCTATGCATGCAGCTGGGTATGTTTAGAACCCGAGACTCTTTTATGACAACTGTGAGAAGGATTTACTAAATGCAGAAGTGTGAAAGTGATTCTACGACTTTGTTGGTAAGTTGGTCTTGATGAATATGAGCAACATAAGATAACGGAGCAGATTAGTACTTACAAGAATGTTAAGGGACTTTTTGGATATCTAATGGTTGTTAGACAAAGAAAGAAGAGGTCACCAAGTGAGTGAGTGCTTCTATGTTTCTTTATAGCTTTAAATTTTAAGTTATTTCTTTATATTAACTTTTGAATATTTGTTCTACTTCGACAGTTGAACTATGAAAGCAATATGGTTCTCCCACTCCAGAGTTAAAAAAGTTTGTTGTCAAAGTTTTAGGTCTAACTTGTAGCTCATCTGGATGTGAAAGGAATTAGAGCATGTTTGAATATGTACGAAGAACGATTGAGTATATTGAATAACTAAATTGTATCTCAATTGTCCTAACTCTTACTAATTATTTGTCATAACTTATTCGTAGATTCATACTACGAAGAGAACTAGACTAACCCTAAAGAATCTCATGATCTAGTGTTCACTAAATACAATAGAATATTGAGGCGTTTGTTACAACGCTTGCAAAAAATAAATCCAATGTGTTTGGATAATACTAATAAGACTAATGAAGAGCTAACAGGAGTCTCTGAAAATCATGAAGAAGTATTTGACGGAGATTCTAACTTCACTTGGGGTGATGTTGCAGAGGCAAGCGAAGGAGAACATTTATGGTTTAAGGGTAGTACTTCAAGCTTAAATAGGAGGGGAAAAGATGTAGCTACAAGTCTATCCCTAATTGATGAAAATGAAGATGAAAACGAAGAAGATGATGAGCAATATAATGATGATATGGACTTAGAGATTTTGACAATCTTGTAAAAAAAATAAGATGATGATCCATTTTATACTTTTTGATTTTGTTTGTCCTTTGTAGGAATTTGTGTTGTCTATTATTTAGTTTTTAAATTAAACATTTGCTTATATATATCGTCCATGTGCAAGGTTTATTTTGTTCTTTTTTCTTTAAAATTGCGGAGCGCTTCATTCACACTTCACGCTTTAAGCGAAGCAAGGCCCCGTTGCTTTTTGTTCTCTTGCTTGTGGCATGTCCTGGCGTTAAATATTGATAGTTGGTTGTTGAAGGCGTACGACAGGCTTGTTTGTGGCATGCACATGGGCGGCCACTAATAGGTGGGCCGATGGCACAAGAGTGCTTGTAAGTTAGTGCAGCTAAGACCAAGGCGCCCCATAGTACAAGGAATTGAAGGACTTCCAACAGTATTATGGAGCACCGCCAACGCATCATGGGACAAGACAGAAAGCAATTCATGACAATATAATGCAAATTCTTTATCATAGGCTTCACGTCTGTAAATCTTTATGTTTCAGTCATGTGCATGCAATCTAAAAAGAAGGAAATAAAATTGAGCATAAATAAAGCCTGAAATATGACAGATAGTCTAACAATACGATTACAAAATACAGCGAATTTGATACGGTAGGCACAGATGTTTCAAGTTTCAACCTAGTACAAACATCTAAATTTATGCTGAAAGTAGTTCTGAATCACTCTTCTACCTACTTGACGATGACTTTCTTATTTTTTCCCCAAATCAAATTCTCAGATCTTATAATCACCCCTAACTGATTTATTTAGAGAGGAAGAGACAGAGAGAAATACAGAGATATTACTTCAGTTAATCTTTTTTTTACTTCATTTGAAATTAATCTTCTCAAGTACATTTGTGGCAATAGGCAATAGTTATAAAATATAGTCTCAAAAAGCAATGAGAAGAAAAAAATCCAAAAGGAATGCGTGCGGACCAATATATAAAACCATTGAAGAGGTGGAAGTTTTACCTGTAAGAACAGCATTAAGAAGCAGAACACCCTATAAAGCAAAATGGTGTATGTCAGAGAATTACTTAAAGGAAGAAAAAAATGGAAGGCTATGACATCAGTTTTTTATTTTTTGGGCCATAAAAGGCTATGAAAGTGGTTTATAAATTTATTGCTGCTGAGAAGAATAAACAGGCAGGAAGCATCAGTTTAATTTTACAGAAATTTAATAATGAATCATGAACAACTCAAATTTCCTGCTTAAATTAAGTACTAATCTAGGCTAAGTATGCTCTAAATAGAAATCTTGGTACCTTAACAAGAAGCAAGCATGCTTTCAAGTATGCAAGTAAGCCGGAACATCTCTTCCTAATACCAGAGCTACGCGGGAGTGGTGTAAGTTGAGGATTTCTACGATATACGGCTTTGTGTGACAGTTTAGCACTGAATATGCCACCAGTCTTTGTAAACCCAGGGTGTACCATGTACTGTATTGTCTTGGTTTACCAAAACTCACAAGTTTCAAATTTTAAACTACTTATTGTCATTTCTATCAAATAAGCTTACATAAATATCAACTTAGAGATAAGAACCACCACTATAGCACTATCATGTAAAGAAACGATAGTATCACCATGTACTCGATAGTTGGCCCCAACTCTTAAAAAACGATGAGGTCTTGATACAGAACAAATTGAGGATCTTTGATAAGTTTATCTTGAAAGTTAAAGTTGAAACCATTTGCAGACTGTTACACAGTTAATAACCAGGAATTGTAACGATCTCATTTATCAGTGGCAATATTAGGTTCAGTAAACAAAACAGAGTAAATATCATGCTGTCACTTTTTTGCTTAAATATCAACGATAAATTTCCATGAGTTAAAGTGAAAGAGATCAGAAGTGGATAGTGGTAGAATTATGACCATGGTTCATAAATTATCACCTGCCTCTCTACCTCTACACACTACCCTCCCGAGACCCCACTCTGAGATTACACTGTGTATGTTGTTGTTGCTTCAAATATCACACCATGTATAAAATATGTCAAAGGACTAATAGTGAAAACTGTCAAGGTAACAACCAGTGTTTTAAAAGGCGTGGGCGTAAGGCGAGGCGTTCTACATATGCCTCAGTGAGGCGTAAGCCCCGAGGCACGAGGCGTAAGCCCCATGAACATTTAATTTTTAATATTTCATAAAATAATATAATGACAATAAATGTTTTTAAATAGGTAAAATTGCATAAAAATTGAAGAAAGCAATAAATAAGTGAAAAATATATATAGAGGTGCACCATCCCCACAAAAAACTAGTCAAAATAATCCATTATATTCTACTTACAAGCACAAGTAATTTGAGTTGACAAGAATAAAGTTTTCTACATGGAGGAACAAAAAGGATGACTAATATGCAATTTGGACTTTGAACTTGTTGCTATGGAGGAGAACGGAGTTTTCTTTGTATTTGCAAAAAAAATGACCGTTTGTTGCTTTTGGGAGATAGTAGCAGACTAGCGGACAAGATAAAGAGTTGGGAAAACCATAAATTAGGGCTTCTGGCAACTTAAAAAAGGTCTTGACTTTTAAACTTAATGTTTCAGTTCCTTTTTAAAACTTTTGAGTAATTACAAGCTGACTTTTGAGAATTTGGGTATTATATTAAGAATTTATTCAGCAAATTTTATTTTAATTTGAAAAAGTCTCTTGGGCTTATGCCTCAATGCAAAAACGCACCTCAACGCGAGGGCGTACGCCCCGAATTGCAAAGCGTACGCCTCTTGAGACTTTCGCCCCCCACAATCACCTCGGGGTATTTTTGGTTTGCCTCGCCCCGGGGCTCGCCCAGAAAACGCCTTTTAACATACTGGTAACAACTCGTTGCTTTTGACCGAACAAACTGATAAGTAAAGCACAGTAGAAAAAACCAAATTAATATGATACTCATAAAGTAGATGAAAAGTTCCAGCAAGAAGTTCAGAAGCACCTGTAAAGCCCATTGTTCCAAATTTCCATGGAGTGGTATTGAACAACCCAAATCTTGCTTAAGTTCTTTATATATGTTCACCAGACTTGAAGGGACTTTCACACCTCTAGGCACCGAGAAAGAGAGGCCCATTGCCTGACCTGGCCCATGATACGGATCCTGAAATCACATTGAAAAAGGATCATGCTGCTGTAAGTTAGAAAAATGATTCTAGAAGGCTAAAATATCTCCAAATATCAGTGTAGCTTCATTACCGAATTCTTGAAGATGAAAAAACAAATCGCTAATGGAGATTTGCTAAGAGAACCAAAGCAACTTTTGTATTTTATTTTTAGTTAAGAGAACTTTGGTGTTTTAAATGATCAAATGCATTAAATGGAGGAACTTAATAACATCTTGATATTTCAGATGGTTGCATTTCAAAAACTAAAAACAAATTATCACATGTGCATTGTGCTGTGTAATAGTTTACTGTCTCTTTTTGGGTAAGGTTGTAAAGTTTGCATTCAATTCAAACCAATGTCTATACAGGTTGTCATTCCTTGAGATCATACTATTAGTAACATGTGAATGCTACCTTCAAACTAGAACCTCTACCTGTCCAATGATGACAGCCTTTACCCTGTCGAATGAAGTAGTATTAAGAGCATTAAAAATCAGATGCTGTGGGGGGTAAATTGGGACACCACCACTAATTTCCTTTTCAACAAATCTGCACAAGTGTTTTGCATAGGGCTTCTGAAATTCCCCTGGCAGTGCTTCCAACCATGTCTCCTCAACCAACAGTTCCTCTAACTTCACATATCCTACGCCATCACCTAACAGTTGGTACACAAGAGATGCCTTTTCAGTGCCTAGCAAGGAATAAGCAGTTTAACCAAAGGATATGAAACAGAAAATAGAGCGACATCTTAAAACAAAGAGTGAATATAACAAATTGGTCTGCAAGTAGCTATCTTACTATTGATACTGAAGGCCTACTTTGCTCTTTCACAAGAAAAATCAAATATCAAGTATAAGAAGAAAATGTTCAATTTGTACATTGATCTCACAAGTAGTTAATAAATACTGCAGAAAAAATATGTTTTCTTTTGTCAAGCTACAGCACAAGAGCCTAAACTATCTTGTGGCTTGGTTTGCTGTCGTAATTTTGAAATTCATCCAATTCAATGATGTGTTTTTCTTTCTGCTAACAACATGAACATCTAAACATTAAAGAAAAAAGAACATGTACCACAAATATATGTCCAAACATCAAAAACTTTTAAATCAGCTACTCTTTCGCACTCAGTTTGCTTGCCCACTTCAATATTTATAACCAGAATAGGCAGCGTGAAAATATAATCTATTCAATATTTCTTGAGAAAGAAGTCAGATTCTTATTTGAAAATTGCTTTTCTAGAGGAGTAAAATAGTGGATGAAGTTAAAATGTGGTCGTTCAAACCTTTCGTGGCATTGAAAATGCATCACAATCTACCAAGTAACTGAAAAAACAACACAAAATAGAAAGTGGAACAAGCTTTTTCAAGTGAAAATAAGGACCAAGTTAGTAAATACACAATCTTAATGGAACCAAATATAATTTTTCAAGAAAAGTGAAAGGAGCAATATTTAACAGACCATTTGCGTTTAACTTGGAGATTTTATCAGAGCATAGTTTGAGGTTCATTTTGGCCTTTGCAAGCGATTTATTGAACTCCATTCTCGACTTTTGCTCGGACGTGAGCATTGTATTTTTGGGGTCTTTGTTGCCGCCGTCTTCACCCGACAATGAAGATGAGAAGGAGTTGTCAGCGGAAGATGGCGAGGAGACCCGTTTTAGCCGCTTTGCTGCAGGTTGCTTGAATAGATCCATTAGGGTTTTGGAAGAGGAAGACGCCATTTTTGTTTGGGTTTCTCTTCAGAAGGAAGTAGTGGTGAGAAGAGGAAATGGCGCCTAAAATCACCCTAAGGAGACTATTCTCTGGATTGGAAAAAAAATACTCTAGTCTACGTAGGGTCAATGAATATTTAAAAACTTACTAAACGACACCAAATGGATTTTTAGGTTTTTTAAAATAAAATCGTAGGTTTCTAGGACCATACCGATAAATAGAATAATTTTTTTATTTTATTAAAGTACACCCAAAAAATATTGAACCATACCGAATAAATTTACATATGTAAAGTATATTTATATATTAAGTTTAAAAATAATAAAGCATTAAATTTTTCCTTCGGCCTTAGAATTATAAAAAAGGGTTACAAGCCAACAAGTAATTAAAATCAAAATTCTAATTCTCAAACCTATTATGCTACTCCTGCCGAAACAAAATTATTTCCTGCATATTCACTAGCAAGACACAAAGTATTCTAGCGATTATGAGTAGCAAACTACAATATATTGAATATATTTCCTTTCGTGCTATTTAGATTTATCTTTTTTAATATTTAATCTTCTATAGATTTTATTCTTGAGTCTCAGCTTGGTTAATATCATTCTACTCGTGTGATTTTTTTTTTTTTTGTCTTTGTTTAGTTTCTTTTATGTTATCGTAGAATAGCTGATGGATCTATACTCTAGACATCTTTCATGTTTTCTTAATTCATCATCATTTAAACGCTAAAATTATTTAGAGAGTTTTGCTAAGTCCTATAAAAGTATGTATATTGTTGCATTCTTCTTTTACTAGTGAATTTTACATGACATTTAAAGAAATACCGGAAAAAAACCAATATGATTGGGACGATATTATAAATAATAAAATAATCAAAAAATTGATATGGTACAAATTTTATAAAATAGTCGGTTGAACCAAACTATTAACACCCTTTAACTCTAGCGGGAATAGAACCCGAGGACAACTCATTTCCCATTTAGAATTTTTTACCTATAGCTAAATATTATCATTATTAGTAAGGTTTTCATTTAATTACCTAACAAACACATATTTATCAATTATAGACAAAATAATAAATTAGATTCCGATCTTCCTTCGTGATCTCTCTCTTTCTTCCACTCACGTTACACTTCATATGCCTGGACTCGCTAACCTTAAGAATCATCTAATTTTAAAGTACGGACCGAAATTTCAAGTAAAAATATCTGTCATAATAGGTTTACTTCCAAAAGATAACAATACTAATTGTCCAAGATGCTGAACTGGATGCGCTCCAGAAGTTGGGGTGTTGTCGGCAAAAGTTCAAGAGGATGAAATCGGCAGGGAATAGTTAACAACTTACCATTGCTATTAAATAGAGAGATCTATACACCTTAGACTGTACGTAAACTTCGTTAATAAATTCGTTGACAGTCATTAAAAAGCTTTCAAGCTTTGAATTCAAAATTTTAATTTTACAAAATTATTATTTCTTTAGATTGGAGATTGTTGCAAATGATTAGTAATATCCTTTGGAGTTTATATATCAATATTGAGGGAGTTTGACGAAGATTCGAGTTAGTTCTATTTGAAATTTCAGACTAAAACTCGAAGAGGAAGATATAAAAATTATATATATCGGACGTACGAACTACATATAAAATACATAAAAGTAACATAATTGTAAGTAAGTTACATGTGAGTTGTATGTGCTTGACCGGATTTGTATAACAAAAAGTTATATACAAGTTGTGAGTAGTATGTTTTAGTAGAATTTTGTACAACAAAAAGTTGTATACAAATTATATATTTATATATATATATATATATATATTGTAAGAAAACTCTAGTTACTTTTTGTAAATAAGAAAACTCAGCTAAAGCGTGTATATATTATCCTAATTTTGTATGTATATGAATAGATTTCTTTCATTTATTCCGTCCTAGTATATTATATTATATTAAAACTAAAAGTTTATAAAGTGTTTTTAAATATATTATTAATTAAAATAAACTATTAAATAAATAAGGCCTCCCATATAAGGTCTCGTACAGAGCCATATGGATGCTCGACTGATAGCTGTTGTTGTAGGCAAACTCCGCTAAAGGTAAAAGTTGGTCCATCTAATCCCCGAAATCCATATAGCATGCTCGGAACATGTCCTCCAAAATCTGAATAATTCGCTCGGACTGTCCGTCCGTTTGAGGATGAAATTCGATACTCAACTCGACCCGCATGCCTGACTTCCACTGCACGGTTCTCCAAAAATATGAATTGAACTACGTGCCTCGATAATAAATGAAGGAAATAAGCACACTGTGCAGGCAGATAATCTTTCGGATGTAAATCTGAGCCAACCTCTCTAAAGATAGGATGTCATCACAAGAATGAAGTGTGCTGACTTAGTCAACCGGTCCACATTAACCCAAAAAGCGTCATATTTCCTCGAGGTCCGTGGTAAGACCACCACAAAGTCTATGGTGATCTTCTCTCACTTCCACTCCGATATCTCCAATTTCTGAGTCAACCCACCTGATTTTTTATGCTCATACTTCACATGTTGACAATTTAAACACTAAGAGACATGCCCAACAATGTCTTTATTCATCTTCCGCCACCAATACATCTTCGTGACACGTGGGTGAATGGAATACCGTAATATGTGAGCCTCCCTAAAGATACAACTCTCTCAACCCATCAACATTCGGAGCACAAATATGGCCCTGAAGCTGCATAACACCATCTTCTCAAATCTTAACCCCCTTGGCACCACCCTGTTATACCTTGTCTTTCAACACAAACAAGCCTTGATACACTCTAATAACGATGATTGTGCGAAACACAAGCAAGAACCTTACCAGGCTCTGAAACATCCAACCTCACGAACCGATTGGCCAAAACCTGAACATCCATGGCTAATGGCCTCTCCACTGTCGGTAAATATGCCAAACAGCCCATGTTCTATGCCTTCCTAAGCAAGGGATATGCCACCACATTCGCCTTCCCTGGATAATATAACATGGTGATATCATAGTCCTTCAGTAACTCTAACCTCTCCATTGCCACAAATTAAGGTCGTTCTCTGTGACGACCCGGCCAGTCGTCTCATGAGTTACCGCTCCGTTTCCCCCATTTCTACTTCTATATGCTTTGTTTATCCGTGTTATGTGGTCTCGGGTTGGTCGGATCGAATCCGAAATGATTTTGGTAAGGTTTGAGACACTTAGTCCCTTTTGAGGAAGTTTGAGTTGGAAAATCAACCGGATGTTGACTTATGTGTTAGAGGCCTCGGATATGAGTTCCGATGGTTCGGTTATCTTCGGGGGGATTTGGGACTTAGGAGTGTAATCAGAATGAGTTTCTGAGGTTCTGAGTAGATTTAGGCTTGAATTGGCGAAGTTGATATTTTGACGATTTCCGGTTGGTAGGCGAGATTTTGATATAGGGGTCAGAATGGAATTCCGAGAGTTGCAGTAGTTTCGCTTCAAGAGAAAGTAAGAAAACTATTGCACACGCCCCCCATTCGCCCTTTACTAATATAATAGAAGGTAAGGCAAAAGCAAGAGTGAAATTACGAGCTAAAAGCAGGCGTGTCTCTCTTATAAGAGAATATGATACCATCCCCCACTTTTGGCGCACTTGTTTGATGAGCTAAGCCTAAGCGCCATATAAGTCAAAAGCTAGCCTGAGACCTAAAAAAGCAAGGTCGAAATCCATCCCTCTTTTTCCTGTATTTGACTAGTAGGGCTAATGAACGACCCTTTGATCTATTAAGTGGAAAGTTCAGCCAGGTCTGATTAGAAGTTAAAAAATGAGTGGAGCGAGGGACTTTAGAGGGGAAAAAGGGGGGCGAGCTTTAATTGAAGTAGGGGTGGAGCTCCTCTCCTTACAGTCAAGTGGCTTTCACTCCTCATAGAGAGTTAGAAAGCTGGTGTCATTTGGGATGTGTGTGAAAAATTTCAGGTCATTCGGAAGTGGTTTGGTTGGGTTTTTGATCAAAAGCAGAATTCGGAAGATTTTGAAAACTTAGGCTTGAATACGATGTGTTTTGATTGATTTGATGTTGTTTGAGGTGTTTGGAAGATTGGTACAAGTTTGAATAAGGTTTTGGGATATGTTGGTGCCTTTGGTTGAGGTCCCGGGGGCCTCGGGGTGATTTCGGATGGTTGACGGGGAGTTTGAAACTTTGTTGCAGCTGCTGAATTTGCTGCTTCTGGTATTTCCGCACATGTGAATTAGGGACTGCAGGTGCGATGTCGCAGGTGCAATAAGGGAGGTCGCAGAAGCGGAAATGGCTGGGAAGGCAGGGACCGCAGATGCGGTTGATGGACCGCACCTACGAAGGCGCAGGTGCGGAATGTTGATCGCATGAGCGGTTTTGGCCGTTAAGTGAGGAACCGCAGAAGCGGTTAGTTGGCCGCATATGTGGTACCGCAAAAGCGGTGAATAGGGCCGCAAATGCGAAAATTCCTGGGCATAAGGTATAAATTGTGCCCTTCGCGATTTTTAGCTATTTTCACCATTTCTATCTCGGCTTTGGAGCTTTTTTGACGATTTGAAAGAGGGATTTCAAGGGAACTTCATTGAGGTAAGGAATTTGGACCTAAAACTCGTTCCTATGCTATTATTTTACGGATTAGAGCGATGATTAATGGAATTTAAGGGCTAAAATTGGGAAAACTAGGGCTTGGAAACTTAGACCATTGCTTGAGGATTTGAATGACCATTTGAGGTCGGATTTCAAAACTTTTGATATGTATGAACTCGTGGGGAAATGAGGAATCTATTGATGTAAAAATTATCGAATTTCAAGGTGTGGGTGTCGCGTCCCCTTTTTCCCTCTTTGCATCGGAAAATCGGGTTTATGACATTTTGGGTGTGGGACAACTCATTCCTTTTGGGAACTGGGTTTGCATTTGAAGAGTCGTCACCTAATGATTTAAAGTGCATTAAGACACCTATAGGGTTCATTTCTAAGTTTGTTTCATAACCAGAGATAGGGTAAGGGCTTGAAATTATCCTAAGGAGAAGGTGTTAGGCACCCCTCAGGATCCACTAGTGTGGAATCCTAAGGGGAAGGTGTTAGGCACCCCTCAG